TTTCCCAAAAACAATAGGGGTCTTCATTGGCCAGAACCCATTCTACATGCAAAATTTCGTGAAGATTGGTCCATAACTGTGGCCTGTATCGTGTTTACAAATTATAATGGACGGACGGACGGACACACATGTCTAGATCGACTCAGCTAGTCGAGATATGACGATCGGTATACTTAAAGGTGGGTCTAGGACCAATATTTCGCGGCGTTACAAACTTTTGGGGCTGCACAAAGCTATAATACCCTGACAACATAGTTGTGTAGGGTATAAAAATATATTTTCGCCCTTTTCGAATTGGAAAAACTCATGTTTTAAACTGGGCCAAAGACATAGAAATCGTAAAGACTCGACAAAATGTATTTTGACAAAATCAAGCATAACAGAGTCATTGAAAGAATAGAAACGCCAATACACGAAAATGTGTGTATAAAATGTAAATAAAATCAGAGATCTGCACTATGTTTTAATATATGTTTTCATTTTATAAGCTTGCGATATAGCGCTTAAAATGTTTAACATTGTTCGCAGGTCCACACATACCCCTTGTTATTGTACCATGAATACATCGTACATGTGATGGATAAATCTTACTAGATGAAATTTACCCAGTAACATTCAGCGTAGAACTGACAAAGTAGCTCTCTCCTTTCGCTCTCTTTTACTGGACTTTGGAGTAAACAGACAACATCCGGTAACATTTGGTAACAATTGTTACCAAATGCCGAGTAAACAGACATATGGTATGTAGTAAAGCTAGTAAAAGGGAAATATTTCATAATCGCTCTCAGAGTACAACATAATTTGAAAAGTTTGGGAGCGCAAATCTAGTAAATATGTCAAAATTAACAGCCAATCGGAAGTTGGCATTCCTGTTTACCATTTTTACCCTGACAAATTTTTCGAGTATAAAGTTTACAGAACTCCATTTTGTTTTGTGTTCTCTTAAAATTGGTTTAATGTTTTACCAGTTTTGTAGTTTCAGGAACGTTTTTCGAGTAAAAAGTTGCATAACTTGTAAAATTAGTAGATTATTTTAGGTTCTGGAAAGGAACTATAGCTTTTATGACATCGGAAAAAATAGTAATAATTAACAGACCACTGGTCAGGTCAGGGATGCGAAATGAAATTATTCCAATTGTACTGACTTTCAATAAAAAGTGTACTTTTTTCAGTCCGATTGTACTTTTTATATATTTTTTAATAAAATTTTTATTGTTATCAACAATTAATAAAAACATACATACTGAATTCATTATACCCTTCACCACACTGTGGTACAGGGTATTATGTCTTTGTGCATATGTTTGTAACAGGCAAAAGGAAACGAGATAGACACATGGTTCCTTTTAAGAATATGCATAGAACCACTTTCGGAGTCGATTTACGCATGTCCGTCTGTCTGTCCATGAGTTATTGGGCACGTTTTTCAACCGAATTCGCTGAAATTTGATACATTTGGTTCTTATTGGGTGCCAAATATCTCCACTAAAAATTATACATATAGGTCCAATTTTTCTGGTAGCCCTCATATAAGGGTACCCCCAATTTTTGAGCACGTTTTTCAACCGAATTCACTGAAATTTGGTATTTTGTAGTCGTATATGGTAACAAATTTTCCTACAAAAAATTGTCAATATTCACCCCCTATATAACCCCCTTTTTATACCCTTCACCACACTGTTGTACAGGGTATTATGTCTTTGTGCATAAGTTTGTAACAGGCAAAAGGACACATGGTTCCTTTTGAGAATATGCATAGAATCACTTTCTGAGTCGATTTACGCATGTTCGTCTGTCCGTCCGTCCATGTATTTTTGTGAACAAAGTACAGGTCGCATTTATGATCCGATTTGGATGAAATTTGGCATAGGTCACTTATTTGGCGCACAGACGAACCCTATTGAAATTTTGAAAAATCGGTTCAGATTTAGATATAGTTCCCATATATATTTTCATCCGATTTAATGTAAAGAGTCCCTATATATCTCTCAATTTGCACGAAATTTGGCACAGCGTAATTAGTTAGGTCTAGAATGATGTGTGTTAAGTTTCCTGAAAATCGGTTCAGATTTAGATATAGCTCCCATATATATTTTCGTCCGATTTAATGTAAATGGTCAACCAAAGTCCCCAAAGTCTTTCGATATGCATTCTATATCTGACCAAATGAAAAATTTAGTATCGGTTGCAGAATGGCATGTTTATTGATCCAATTTGATTTTACTGGTCCTTTAAAAATGCGACGTCTATTAGGATACATCTGTTAAATATACCCAAAGTGGTGAAGGGCATCATATAGTCGGCCCCGTTCGACTGTACTACTTTCCTTACTGGTTTTAATATACGAAATTTACCTACTTAGTACGTAGAACTAATTCACTTGTTCTACGTACTTATAAGTCTTATATATAAACATTGTTTTTAGGAAAACAAGTCTATTCGGTTTTAGATCGAAATCAATTTATCAACTTTATTGCAACATATTATATATCGTTAGCAGCACGACTTCAACAAATTCTTTGTTTAGATAAGATTTAAAGCAGTCGAAGCATGTAGTCCGTTCCTTTTTTGGTTTTAATTATATTTTGATATGAAAATACCCTTTCCACATTTGCCGATGAATGTGGAATATATAATAACCCTCTAGAAATGCGTGATATATAAGGAAACATATCTTCATTTAGTTCATTTTTGACTTCAGCTACCTTTGACCAACAAGTTTATATATTGTCGTTTTTAAAAGACATAATAATTTCAGCATGCATTCTGGCATCCTCAGACTGCATTTCAAAATTGATATTATTTATAATTTTTAGTACATATTGTAAGAACAAAAAGAGCAGTAAAAAGGGGTTGAAACTTCTGAAATAACAGAATTGAGCCTTAACTTTTGGGATTCAGCTTCGAAATCATTGAGTGTAAAATAATATTGAAGTGATTCCCACTACGCCAAAATTGTTTCAATAACTTCTTGACGAGAAAGCCATCGAGTTGTTGAGTATTCAAAAACAATATGAGTATCTATACCGAATTATTTCTGAAACATTGAAAAAATCGTCTCTCTTATAGAAATGTTACAGAAATAATAAATACAGAATTTTGAAGCGTTTAAACTATGGCAAATCCATCCATTCGTAACGACAGCGGGGGGTCGCGATTCATTTCATATTAAACACTTATAATATGTGAGAATAATTTGATACAATTTTGAAATAGTGCTAAATATGTCATTGGGGTGCTATTGTATTTTTGACTTCCAAATAGTACTAAAATTAGTACAATTGTACCAACTTTTTCATCACTGGGTCAGGTTGTTCAACAAGAATCTACTAATTATGAAGTAATTACTTAGTTCCCCATACAAAATTGTCTGAGCGAACACCGACTTTTGTACGTTGTTCAATTCGAATCACTCTCTGAATCACCAAGAAATTTGTCCCATCCCTAACAACTGAGAGCATTTATCGAAAATAAATTAATTTTGACAGCTTGAAAATATTTATAAAATTGTCAACCTTTTTTAGTAATATTGAAAATGATGAATGAAAAGTAAAAAATTGTCTAGTTTTTATATATGCAGCAGGATGTAAATTTTGTTATCTACATAATGCAATGTGAATTTCTTTCCCCATGGTTCTAATTATCGTACAAAACAAGAAACAAATTTGGGGACACTCAAACAAAAAATTCTCCAAACTTTTATATGTGACATTTGAATTTAGAAAATATAAAAATGTATGAAAACAACAATATGTTCAGAAAAAATGGAAAACATGAATTAAAAGTAAATAGATATGGGTTCTTAATATAGTCAGGAGAAAGACAATTAATTTTTCTATTCAAATCCATATGTGATTCATGCAAATATGTTAGAATTTTAGTGTAAAACAAGAAACAAAAAGTTTGAAATAAAAAACTCTGATGACATGAATTAGGAGTAGTGTTGTATGAACGGGTTAATTCATGTACGTAATTCTGAGAGCGAACTACCAAGGTAGATATACAAGGTAGCCGCATCGGCGAATTGGGAACATGATATGTCAAAATTGTTTACCAGGCGAATAATACTAATTTCGCCGTGACATAAAAAACTCGAAGCAAATTAAATTCAACCAATCAGAATTAAGCATTTTGAAAAAAAGAAAAAAATTTGTTTACCTTTTGAAAATTGAAAATTTTTAAAATAAGTTGTGTTAGTATCTGATTTTTGAGTGGAAAGATACATCAAAAGTGCGCCTTAAATGTGATAATGTTGGTGACATCGGATGTAGTGAGAGATAACAAGATTTAAGCTATTTGTTACGTAGTTTTGTCATGCCCTCACATGAAGTTTTTGGAAACAATATATAAAGAAGACAAAAAGGTCCTATCGAACCAAATCTTCTTTTTGATCCCAAAGTCTTGTTTTTGATTCCATGGTCTTCTTGAAGAAATATCATCTCCATAGCCTATCGTTATGCCTTTTATCCTTTTTTTCTTTATTTTCAAATATATTTCAATTTTTAAAATTTTGTTTGGAAATGGGATTGAAAAAAAAAATCAAAAACAACAACAACAAATTGTTATGACATATAATGTTACCATCAGCTGGTTTGATACGGTTACCTTCTTAATATACCTTGCGAACTACGTTGTTCGAATGCCCGTCAGAACATGGCATAATTTTTACTATTATTTTGGATAACATAAAGGAAACATTGTTATCGTTTTAAAAAATTGTACATTTTAAAGTATTAAACCTTCGTGTGTGAAGACCACTAATGAACTGATAAATCGTTATCGATTACTATAATCGAACGATTGTTTCTAAAATCGTTCTTCTTTGTCATCTCTAAACACAAAGGCAAGGGAATGCGTGAATGGAATAGTTGTTATTTAATAAATTCTGTGTCGGCTTTTCAATAAAAAATTGACTTAAAATGTCTATTGCCAAGAGAGTTCAGGTATGGTCTCTATTATCAATCATATATCTATATGGAAACCGTCTTACTATGCTTGTTTTCTTTTAGCAATGGGCAACATTTGCCCGTCAATGGCACATCTACGATTGCACTTGGCAAAATCCTTTTGATTCGGCCAAAATCATTTCCCGGCATTTGAGAGGAATGCAAAAACCTATTTATCATCCAATGAGTAAGTAAATGAAAACTTTGGTATTCCTGCTTTGAAACAAAACGTAATGAAGCGAAATTAAATGTTAACTCCAACATGCTCGTTACTGATGTGTGAAAGTATAGTGTAGTAATGTCTTATGGACATTGTGGGAAATTAATTATAAATGTAGGTCTTTCCCCGATTGACATGTGAATTATTAAAATTATGTACTTTTTTAACATAAACTGGCACATTAAATTTTAACTTCTCTAGAAGTTTTTTAAATAGGATGTTTTATTTAGCCATCGACCGAATTCATTTGTTCTCATAAAGTTGATAACATCTACATTATTTTAATCAGTAAACTTATACCGAGAAGTGTATACGTCCATATATAGTCATAGATCCTCGGGATGGTTCTCTTCTACGTATTAACAATGCACATACAGATTATACATTTATTTACTCAAAACCTACAAGGATTATTTTATGCTTACAAGTATAATAGTTTAAAGTTGGTATAGTTTATAAAGATCTTTAAATATGTTGTGAATGAAAAAAAAAAAACATTTGAATAAAAATATATTTTGCAAATTGAGTGGTAAATACCCCTTCAGTATTTTATAATTGTATTGTTTTATTTTTTACTCTTCCTTTTCAGATGATTGTGGTGACCATGTTGTAGTAATTAACACCAAAGAAATTGCCTTGCCCGGTGATGAGTGGGTTAAACGTGTTTATTTCCATCACACTGGCTATCCCGGTGGAGCATCGTGGACCTTAGCTTGGCAATTACACGAAAAAGATCCCAAAATGGTTATGTACAAAGCAGTATACAATTCAATGAAGGGTAACCTACAGAGAAGACATACAATGCAGCGTCTTCATTTATTTGCCGATGATCAGGTGCCCGAGGAGATTCTAGCAAATGTAACAAATCAAATAAGAACGCCACGTCAAGTGCCACAACGTTTAGATATGATTGACAAGGAAACATTGGAGAATTTCCCATCGATTATGGATTATCCAAAGGATTATATTTTACGATAATTTTGTTTTTGTTTGTTACTCTATGAAGAATATAATTTGAAATAGAGAAGTTTCTTGGTTTTTTTCCTGTAAAATAATTTTAATTTCGATTGGGAGGATGTTTTACTTTTTATAAATCTATGATGAATTCCTGTGTTATGAAATGAACCATGAAACTATAATTATAACGCGTATGAAGAATTGTTTTTGTATGTGAAGAAAAGTCCTGTAATTGAGCTTGCCACTATGAATATACTAAATTTTTTAGCAACAAGCTCCAATGAAGGTAATTTTATCCAAAACTGCTTATTAAAACTCAATTCTCCCAATTGATATAGTATATATAATATTTGTAGGAAGACTATTATTTTTTTTTACACAGTCGGTTGTAGTACTGAAATTTTATTATATGAAAGACCATACATATTAGGGGCGACGAATCTAACACTCATAACATCTAAAAACTAGGAAATCTGTCATATGTCGAAGTTTAATCGATCTTGAATAATGTATGGAATGACAAGAATAAATAGTTATCTTTTTATCAAAATATTCACGCTTTGTGGAGAAAATATCAGAAGAAGAGTGCCGACAGGCTCCATCTTCGAACTTGCCGTATTACGGCATGAATATGCAGCTGGAAGACCTTATTTGTTTTTCATTTTTGAAAAAAAAAAAATCGGAAACCAAAATGTTGCTTTCGCAAAAGCTTTCTGAGTATTGCAAGGGTACTGGGAAGCGTAGAGGAGGGTAACTAATGATATTGGACTGTTTTTCTTTGTAGGGAGTTCGATCTATTTACGAGATTTATGAAGTAATGGATCGGATTGTTTATACAAATGTGTTTTTCTTCGCTGAAGAAAATATACCACCTGTTTAGGTGCCTCAGCTTGACAATTACGTGTATATGTCAAATATTGGTTGAGGAAGTCAAAAATCACGATTTTATAATGGTCAGAGCAATCATCAGATTTTTGCTGCCGTAATGTATAATATTTGGATTACATATGTTAAGAGCTGATTATGGACGACCATATCAAAAGAAAAATCTAAAAAAAATCAAATTTTTGGCCAAGATATGTGATTTTCAATACATAGATGAGTGCAAAAATATGTACAGTACCAAATTGTGTATACAGTCCAAAATATTTAAATTGCTTCGTATTATAAATGTACGAATTGTACCCTCTAAATTGTTGTTGTTTTTTCGTTGATATTGCATTTGCTTTAGTTGATATTGGACTTTTATTTTTCGTAAAGAAGGTACTGTATCTCCCGAATGCAAGGATGTATCGACGTCAAATTTTGTTCATATCCTATTTAGGATAGTTACATTAAATCTGTGTACAGAAAATAGTTCTATTGTCACGGGTAAAAAATACAGAATACAGAGGGTTAAAAACGTTACAGGTTATTTATTCAGTTTGCAATTTCAGTTGCTGTAGTTTTGGCCACCAGTGTATGTCGAATATGTTTTAACCCTGTGAGCCCCGATATTTTTCCGTGACCTTAGAACTATTTTTCTGGCACATATTTAATGCAACTATCCTAAATAGGGTATGGAGAATATTTGACGTCGCTACATCCTTGCATACGGAGATACAGTAATTCTTTTTGAAAAATAAAAGTTCAATATCAAAAAACCAAATGCACCATCGAAAAAAAACTCTTTAAAAACTCTTTATTATAAAACGATTTAAATAATTTGAACTGTACACGGAAAATGGTACATATTTTTGGCCTCCATTAACTTTGTAAAAAATTGATTATTTTAAATGTTTCTTCTTGTTTCGCCCCTTATCATGTATTAACATATGTAATCCAAAGAATATATATTTACTAGCTGCGTATTAAATATAAGCCCTAAAACATTAATTAGTGCCAAATTTTGCCACGAAGGGTTATTAAACAAACTCACTTCTATATTTTAATGCCACATTACGACAACTACTTCGCCACATTACGTGTCCACTAATTGAAAAGATATTTGTTGACATCACCCGGTGACATATTGCAAAAAAAATTGCATTTGCAAAAAAAAAAGTTTTGTTGGCCGACTAAAAAGCCGCACGGAAAAGTGATTTTCCAATTTTTTCACACCCACGTCAGATAGAGGTACACAATCATTGCAAATAAATCAATTATTTTTAGCAACAAGTAGATAACATTTATGTGATTTTGATTAAAATATTGATCTAAGATCCACTTGTTGCTCCCTGTGTTCATTGGCCAATCAGCGCTTGTTAACAATTTGTTGATATCGCAAAGAAACGACACAAAATACGATAAGATTAATTGAAACCTAACCGAGATAATCTAACAACCACAACAATTTAAGTTTTAGTAAAATATTGTTGATAATTTCTTTGCAGTCCATAAACGTTCGTTGAGCACTCAACAATTGTCCTCGCCCGATCTACTTAATACCGTACCAGTTTATTCTGTATCCAATCGCAATATGGGTCGTCTAGGAAAAGTTGATCCCAGTTCCTACTCCCAACCAGAATTGATTACAACCAAACACAGTAATTTGCAATGGAAAGTCGATTTTGAAAACACCAAATTGAAGGGATCTGTAACACACAAGTTCAATGTCTTGGAAAATAATTTGGAATCAATTGTAAGTAATAATGTTAGTGAAAATATAATTGATACTAAGAGGTATTTTCTAGATTTTGGATGTTCGTGACGTGACCATTCTAAATGCCGAAATCATTTCTTCCGGCTCCACAACACCTTTGAATCATTTTATCAGTGACCCGGTTGATGATATTGGAGCTAAATTAACATTGGAACTTCCTCAAGGCACTGCCAAAGGAGAGTAAGTAAACAGCAAGAAACAATTCCTATATGTCTTATCAAAGCAGTAAGATTGTTTTTAATCTCTAAAAACTTCTAAAAACCCCAACATACCACATGCATGCGTACATATTTCGTATGTAATTTATAGCCGTTTTCTCCAAGCGGTTGTAAATTTCTTATTAATGTTGTTTTATAGGGGTTGTGATTGGAAGGCGGCTGGTAACATACATATATTTTTGAGACGATAATTTTATTGCTTCTACCATTGAAGAGTTCACTGAAGCGTTTGTTTATTTGATTTGCTACTGGGTGGATTACTGTATATATAGTAAATAAACTGGAAATTATTTCAATACTAGTACTTGATGGAGAAGTGTGTTTAGTAGCAAAACTGTCAAATATTTCAATACTATCATGTAAATACTGTAATAGAAAATTACAACCAATTGTATTTAAAGATGAGTCTAAACAGATTCAAGTGACAGATTCGAACCTAGCAAAAAATTAAGAAAGTCCTCCAATGAATATCAATGTGGGCATGCGGATACGACGACGAAATCTGTTTGTCTAGATTTCTGAACCAAAAATCCAAATAGCACTATGGCCTACGCATGCAAAGCTTATGCTATAGTCAAAGTAAAACAAGTCGTTAAATGCGGCAGGCTTTAACTTGCTCTACCGCCCACAATGAGGTGGGCCTAAAATCGATCAGGACTTGTATTTTGGGGCCATGTCATATTAAATTTTTGGCAGAAAGATTTGACATCCAATGAAAGCTTAAAATATCTAACTAAAGCCAATGATAGAATTATTGCTGTTAATTGCGATCTGTTTTTAATTTCAAATTCTAAATAGAGTCGAAATTTTTTAATTGATTACTGTGTATCACGTGTTCCATTATATGATAAACCAAATCTTTCTATTTAATTAAAAAACTTTTGTTTCGTTTTTCAGATTAACTGTCCGTATTGATTATGAAACTTCACAAAAGGCCAGTGGTCTACAATGGCTTACACCCGAACAAACATTAGGCAAAAAACATCCATACATGTTCTCACAATGTCAAGCTATTCATGCCCGTTCGATAATACCATGCCAAGATACACCTGCTGTGAAATTTACCTATACTGCAACTGTGGAACATCCAAAAGAACTGAAGGCCCTTATGAGCGCCCTAATTGACAAACAAGAAGAAGGTCGTACAACATTCAAGCAGGACGTACCCGTTCCAGCTTATCTCTTGGCCATTGCTATTGGTGATTTGGTATCGAGACCTTTGGGTCCCAATTCTAATGTTTGGGCAGAGGAGGGCATTATTGAAGAATGTGCTGCCGAATTTTCTGAGACATCAGAAATGTTGAAAACTGCTTCTGATATTTGTGGCCCGTACGTTTGGAAACAATATGATCTATTGGTGATGCCACCCTCATTTCCATTTGGTGGTATGGAAAATCCTTGTTTGACATTTGTAACACCTACCCTTTTGGCTGGAGACAAATCGCTGGCTGATGTTGTTGCCCATGAAATTGCTCACAGCTGGACTGGTAATCTGGTGACAAACAAAAACTTTGAACATTTCTGGTTGAATGAAGGTTTTACCGTATTTGTGGAGACGAAAATTGTTGGACGTATGAAGGGTGAGAAAGAGCGTGACTTCCATATGTTGAGAAATCTTACCGACTTGCAAGAATGTGTATGTTTACAACACACTTAATTTGATAAAATTGTATTTTTAATTAGATTTTTTATTCTTTTAGCTTCGCACTCAATTGAAGGATACCCCCGAATTGACCAAACTTGTTGTTGATTTATCCAACTGTGGTCCTGACGATGCCTTCTCCAGTGTACCCTATATGAAAGGTTCTACATTTTTGCGCTATATTGAGGACTTGATGGGTGGACCAGAAGTTTTTGAACCATTCTTGCGCTCATATCTACAAAAGTATTCATATCAATCTGTTGTGACTGATGATTTCAAAAATTCTCTCTATGACTACTTTGTCTGCACCGATAAAAATGGTAAACTCAACGAAATCGATTGGGAATTGTGGTTGACATCTGAGGGCATGCCACCAATTATTCCAAAGTAAGTTAAACAACACTTGTGTAGTTCAGTATATTTATTTTTAATATTTTAATAATTATTTTAGCTTTGATCAAACACTTGCCAATGTCTCGAAACAATTGGCTGAATTGTGGAGCACCAAAACGACCGAAGAACTGAGAGATAATGCTGAAGTCAAGCAAAAGATCTCTACCCATCAATTAATCGATTTCTTGGGTAAATTAATTGAATGCAAAGACATCAAAGATTTAACTGAGCAAAAAATCGAACTATTGGAAGCTACTTATAATCTGAAGAACACTAAAAATGCTGAAGTTCTATTCCGTGTGATGCGTTTGTGCATTATGGCCAGACTTATGAATCGTATGGATAAAATTATTGAATTCGCAAACTCCAACTTCCGTATGAAGTTCTGTCGTCCAATTTATCGTGATTTGGCTCAATGGCCTGAAGCTAAACCAATTGCTGTTAAGAACTTTGAAAGTGTTAAGGATCAAATGATGGCCGTTTGCTCACATACCATTGAAAAGGATTTGGGTTTGAAATAAGCATTCTCGGAAGATATTTCAAGGCATTTATTTATTATGAAGATAACATGTGAAAAAAAAACTTTGAAAGTGAAATAAAAAAAGAGAAATTTAGTTAAGTTTGAAGATTTTTATTTTGTGTATGGATGGGTAAGTTATTTTGTTGTTTAAGCTTACCACGGAATGAGGATATATTATACGGATTTGGATATTTAATAATCATACCACCCAGAAATTTTAAGCATATATTTATTGCGTCGTGAATGGTATGGTATATGGTATGCTAAGGTATATTTTTGTATTTTTATACCCTTCACCACACTGTGGTACAGGATATTATGTCTTTGTGCATATGTTTGTAACAGGCAAAAATAATCGAGATAGACCCATGGTTCCTTTTGAGAATATGCATAGAATTACTTTCTAAGTCGATTTATGCATGTCCGTCAGTCAGTCCGTCCGTCCGTCTGTCTGTCTGTCTCTCCATGTTAAATTGTAAACAAAGTACAGGTCGCATTTATAATCCGAATTGGATGAACTTTGGCTCAGGTCACTTATTCGGCCCAAGGACGAACCCTATTGAAATTGGGAAAAATCGGTTCAGATTTAGATATAGCTCCCATATATATTTTCGTCCGATTTAAGGTAAATGGTGTACCAAAGTCCTTATATATCATTCGATTTGCACGAAATTTGACATAGCGTACTGAATTAAGTCTAGAATGATGTGTGCAAGGTTTCGTGAAAATCGGTTCAGATTTAGATATAGCTCCCATATATAGTTTCGTCCGATTTAAGGTAAATGGTGTACCAAAGTCCCTATATATCTTTTGATTTGCACGAAATTTGGCATAGTGTACTGAATTATGTCTAGAATGATGTGTGCAAAGTTTCGTGAAAATCGGTTCAGATTTAGATATAGCTCCCATATATATCTTCGTCCGATTTAAGGTAAATGGTGCACCAAAGTCACTGGAAATCTTTTCATTTGCACGAATTTTGGCATAGCGTACTAAATCAATTTTAGAATGATGTTGCTAAGCTTCGTGAAAAGGTCCATAGCTAAACCAATTGACACAACATACTGAAGTAATATACATAAGTCTCTGGCAAGTTTCCCTGAAATCGGTTCAGATATAGATATATAATAAAAACCCGACGATACATATGTAGGATACATATGTAGAATATACCCAAAGTGGTGAAGGGTATCATATAGTCGGCCCAGTCCGACTTTACTACTTTCCTTACTGTTTTTTTGATCATTCAAGCGAAAATCAAATACAATACTCGTTGATCGACAAATACAAACCTTTAGTAAATAAAACTCTAAGTTAATACTCAGTTCTGATTTTTTGTCTCTTTTATATTTGTTCATTTATATAATTGTCTTGTTTTATTTCATTTTTGTTTTCTTTATTAAAAAATAAGCAAAACTACGTTTATAACAAGATGATTTTCATTCTCATGCTTAATTAATAATTTTGTTTATTTGTTGTTTTGTTCTTTTATGTGTAATAATGTCTTGTCGAAAAAAATATATATGTACCTAAATTTTGTGGTTTTTAAATCATATTTGCATTAGATTTTTTTCTTGGATTCGCTTTCGTTTTTTATATTAAATGTCTTCGTTCGAAGGAGTTGTGATTTGGGTTGATGACGTTGTAAGGGTAATGCGTGTGTCATGATTCGTTTCGTATGGAATACTTTCTTTTAAGTCTAAGGGTTCAGAAAGCGATGACAATATCAAACTAGACACCTTAGCGAATGTTCCATAACATCAACATTATCCTTACATCGTATTTTCTTTATATGTTTTTTCTTTGTAAGTGTTCAATGTGTGTTGTATATTATGGGTTTCATATAGGCAGTATGTACCATTTTATTATTCTTCTACTCGTCGATTTCCAATTGTTGTTATTTTGTTTTCTAGGTTATATGTTTGTTTTGAAATGTATTTTATTTCTGGACAATTTGTTTTTGTTTTATTATGTTAAACTAGAAATGTGGCGCACTTTATTGGCTACGGGGATACATGCAATATTTTTCCGAATACAATACGGAAATTACACTTCAATTGTATCAAAATGCAGCAAAATGTTTTTAAATGTGTGTTATATAGATAGATGTAAATTTGAATTCATATATTATTGTAAAATAAAAACAAAATACTAAAAATATATTCATTTATATTTTTTTCTTTGATTCATAAAATATTGCTTTGCTAGTTTGAAAAAAAAATAATTAAAAATATTGCTTTGTGACATTTGAAGTAAAATAATAGTGTTAATAAAAAACTATATCGAAACTAATGAAATATTTTCCAAGGAGCATATGTATGCCAATCTTGATTACTGTAACAAAAACATTTAAAGAAGAAACTTCGCCGACTCATATAAATGGTCCACTGGCGTTTTGAGGAGGCAGCCAGTAACAGTTCATGGGCTGAATTTTTCTGAGTCTGAATACACATAATTTTCCTGCATTTCGATTTATCACCGATAGCTGTGGGAAGCACAGAAAAAAAAACACTGAAAACACTAAACAAACGAAATGGGAACAAAGATCTATAGAGAAATTAGGAGCGCGTTTCATCAAATCTAATCACGGCAACCGAAAGTAATTTATACTTAAGACCCGTCAGCACAGGATTTTAAGAAGTGACTTTAAAGAAGTTTTCTATAAAAAATAAAAAAAAACTACTAAAAAAAGCAGTGCAATATTAAAAAAAGTTATATAAAATATATATGTATACGAGTATATATCAAATGAATATATTTATGAATATTGTTTGTTGATCTTAGTTCTGTAGATTTTCGTTTTCATTATTAAACTTAAATGGTACGGAGATAAATGTTTTGTTGTTGTTCTTGTTATTTAGGACTTTTTGGACAAAAAATATACATATATAAATACGTATTTTGTGATGGTTTTGTTTTATTTGCTTGTTGTTCTTGTTCTAATGTGTTTCAGTACTGTTCATTTGCTTAGTTGTTGTTAGTGTTTTTATTTTCTATATAGAGTCCTAAATTTGTAGTATTTGTTTTATGTTTTTTTTTCTTCTTTCGTTTCATTATCGCTTTTGTTTGTTTCTTTGTTTTCTATATGGCCATTTATTTTTCTTGATTATTACTTTATTTGTGTTGTTTTAAATTCTTAATAATTTCAGTTTGCTTTCATTTCGTTACGTTTCATCTAAACTTATTATGATGTGATTTTCATCTTGATTTAATTTGTTTTTTTGTTTTCTATTATTAATATTACACAATTACAAATTTAACATTATTATTGTTTAGTTTTCATTATCTCTCTCGTTCTTTCTTTTTCTAGATTCCAATTGTTTTGTTTTCACAATTTTTTTGAAAATTTCAGGTGAAATTTTGTTACTAATTTCTGTTTTTTTTTTTTTTGTAGCCCTTTTTGTTTGCGGGGTTGTTTTCGGTTTTGCGCTTGCGCATTTTTCATTCGTTTTGTTCGTCTTTATCTTAATTGTTTAACTACGTTCATTGCAATTTATTGTTAATCGTAAAATAATGTGATGGGATAATCCAATTGGTTTTATGTCACTTAAAAAATTCTAATTTAATTCTGAGGTTAAAATTAAAAAATAAATTAACATGTTTTTTTAATTGGTTTTTGGACTTTTTATTTTATTTTTTGTGTGTTTTTTTTATTAATGGAAATTGGGTTTTTGTTTTTCTAAAAAAATTATATGTATATATTAATCTTATAATGAGGAATAAAAACTATCACGCACTAGAATTATCATTGGATCGGGATGTGGATGGACCGGCCCCAATATCATCGCCTAAGACGAATGTGGGACTCTGGCGGGACGTAGACGCAACAGGTTGATAGTGGTAACCCTCACGATAACGCTGATTCGGTTTACGGGTTGGTTGTGTGTGACCCAGTGTTGGTCTTTGATTATTTATTTCATTGGGTCTTTTGGCTGAAATTTTATATACAAAACATACACAATTACAGGATACACCCTAATATCTGGCATTTACATTCACAACTTACCAGGTATATAAGGCTTTTGATTATTATAGGACGTTGGTGATGATATTGTACGATTATTGTGTTGATTGTGATGATTCGTTTCACTGTGCGCTGTTACGCTATTATTACAATTATTGTGATTTTGAGATTGTTGCTGCTGTAGTTGTAACTGTAATTGATCACGATTCGGCACATCCGTACTATCGATTGGACTCATCGGTGTCATTTCACGATCCTCAATATACATATCACTACCATCGTCGGGCACATGACGATATTGTGACCATGGCCAGGAAGCAATACCAGACAATAATAACGATTCAATGGCACAGATATAACCTAATATCTATAAACAAACAACAACAATTAAATATTATATTGTAATATAGAAGGGTAGGGATAGTAACTTACCGCCGATGCAAATAGTGTATCTTTGGTGTATTTCGGTACTAGAGTGTACTCTCCGGCAAAGAGCACCATGTGCATTATTAATGTCGAGCTCAAAATTAATATTAAACCAATACTCAGGTACATCCATGTATTCTAAAAAATAAGAGGATATAAAATAATATTTTAATATTTTTACTATTACAAAAGAGTTTTTTGCTTATATAAAAAAGGTGAATCTGGTTAGTGAATTCAATTCGGAAAACGGATGCTTAATGTTAGAATGTACTATAGAATTTAGATTAATTCTCGGCGATAAAAAAATGTGCACTTGGTTTAGGCCTCGATTTATGCATAGTTCTTATATAGATGCACTTTCCGTACTTTGAAGATTCTGAACTGGTTTCTGCTGGAATGACTGTAAAATTATATTTTGGTTGACGTAACGTAAATCTAGTAACACTAATTGAATCTCCTTTCCCGGTTAAACATTCGACTGTACATAGGATAGTTATTAATGGACCATTGCCCTTTACAAAGTCTAGGTGATTATATATTGTGTAGACATGAATGTTCGTACAATGTCCACATTAGGATAGTTACACAACAACATTTAATGAGTGCAAATGAATTCAACCACCGAATGTGCCCTCAAACTTGAAAGCACAACAGTACAAGAACAAGTTATACAACATCAATGAGTCCAATGAGTGAACATCATGCAATGTATTTTGATTCTGTGTATTATATATGTTTACCTTGTACACTCTTTAAAACTTTATTAGTGAGCAATAGTGAGAAATAATGTCTTTTATTTTTTTCTATTGAATACAATATATGATGTAAGAAAAATATCTTCCTCAAGGGATATACAAAAATAGGCCTATGCAGGTACAAATAGGTAGAAATACATATGCACTTTTTTGACTTAAAGACTTTTCATTTGTTCTTTATGTTTTTGTGGACGTAGGTCATTTTCTTACAAATTGTCTCTCATTCATTTCTTACTGTAATAAATTTCTTATTTTTTACATGATAATATTATTAAGTAGAGTAGAGATTGTTTATTAAAAAATATAAATAAAAATATAATGTTACTAAGGCAGAGTTTGAATATCTAGGTAGATGTGGGATTTGCAGACCTTCCACAAGAGAGACAAATCACACATACATGACTTAAACATGAATATGAAAGGAAAACGGGTATTTTCAAATTTGAATGTAGGGCGAGCTTATCACCAGATTCCTATGGCACAAAACGGTATACACAAGACCGCGATTACTGCTCCATTCGGTTTAAAAACACATTCATAAATTAAGTATTAAGAGGACTAGACTTTATATTCGTCTATATTGATGACGTATTAATTTTTAATAAAAATGAATAGGAGCATTTACGACACTTGAGCATTGTATTTTCACACCTACAGAAGTATGGATTGAGCACTAAACCAAGAAAGTGTATATTCGGTATAACAAATATGGATTTTCTAGTACATAATATTTCGGAAGAGGGTATTAGACCACCAGACGAAAAAGTATCTGCTATTCAGAAATTTGATAAGCCAAACACGGTTAAGCTCATGCAAAATTTCATCGGTATGATCTATTGCTATCCTAGGTACAATTCTGGGCTGGCGGAATTGTCTAGCTCTATACATGATATGTTGAATCGCGCGTTAGGCAATAAAAAGCATAAAATTATATGGATTTATAGGGCTCAGTAAGTTTTCAAGAATATTGAGACAGCCTTTGCATCTCGTATTGTGTTGAGTCATTTAGGATGGTATATAATGATTAATATTGACAGTTGATGCATTATGCACTACTATAGGAGATGAATTACAACAGATGCGTGGTGAAGTGACAGAGTCTTTAGCATTGTATTCTAGAAAATTATCCGACACAGAAATGAAATACAGTGATCGTGAGTTGCTCGTGATTCATGGCAGTATTCTGCATTTCCGTTGTATGCTTTAGCCGACTGAAATTCCAGTGTTTAACATATCTTGTTTTTAGAGTTGACTTGGCAGTCATATAATTACTACTTCATCGTATGCACCCTCAAGCAAATGGAATAGTGCAGCGATTTCATCGGCAGCTTAAGGCTGCGATTATGACAAGTAGTCAGCAGAGGAATAGGAATTTGTGGATAAATTGAATCAAGGTTTTAAATACATTCGCTCCAATTTCTCTTACCATTAACATACCACGAAATGTACGTATGTATCCAAAGATCTCTCTAGTTGTGATTATATACGTATGGGAAATGACAGATCATTACAGTGCCCTTATGAAGCTCCTTATAAAATTATGGAAAGAGATACGAAATGGAGATTGACGGAAGTATTATAACTATATCCATTGATAGAATTAAACCCGCCTAAATCGAGACTGCAGTAGCACAAGGTGAAATTGAAAACGTTAGGCGCGTTATTTTAATTTGGTTGAATAGTGTAGGTACCAACGTGTATTTAATAAGGCGTGTGCAAGAATCACAACAACATTAAACAAAAACAACATTAAAGATACATTGTAAACTTATGGAAAATCAATGTGTTTCTACCATGGGACTCCAGTAACCAAGAACTAAGAAACCGAAATGTAAATGCTACAAATATCTGTCAGTAGTTATTTCAGCATTGTAGAGGTCTGATTTGACATATTTATTTATTATATTATATTAGTAAAATTTTATATGCCTAATATGAATGAACAAGAACATATTATGTTCTTGTTCATCATTTATTTAATGTTATTTCAATGTGCAAGACATTCATTTTACATCTTTTCGTTATACTTACAATTTTTGTCCAATTGAAGGGAAACATTAGAGCTATATGTGAAATGTCAAGAAACAACATGAGGCATGTGATCAAAAGGGAAAACAGGGCACAGAACACCATCAATCTGAGGCGTCCGATGAGTGGCAGTAAAAAGAGACCAACTTGTACTGTTCCAGCCGAGCATTCACAGGCCAGACAGGCTGCTGAAGACAACTGCATGGGGGTAGAATATAAAAATTAATGATATGAACGTAAAAGTCAAACCATGCACCTACCACCAATAATATTCTTACGATCCCCGTGGGCGTTTTCAAATGTTGCGGATCACAGTGTAGGGCTACACCCCATGGCAGTGGCGTTTGGGCGATACGCTGTTTATAATTGGCGTGCGAGTCCCACGACGTGCACGTACCCAGTGGCGATTCCAAGGATAATGATAGCTCTCCGGCCCTGCTGCCAGCTATTTCAAAATCCTGTTCATCGTCCAGCTGACAGCAGACCGGCTCCAGTTCACGTATCTCGTCCAGTAGTAGTTCTATCTCGTCCGTTCCATATAGATCAGATACAGACGGTATATAACGTTGGGTTTGTTGCATTTCCCGCTGCGGGGGTTGTCCCACATCACCGGATCTTGTGCGAAGGAATTTTTATTAGCTGAAAAGGTTTTTTTTTGCAATCGCTCTCGCAACGGGCACAATCACTCCTTGGGTTGAATTTGGTTCTAAGGTCTTTGGTTTTGGTATTTGGTAGTTGTGCGTTTGGGTTGTTGTTTTTGGGTTAGATTCCCTTATATATTTTTAATGTAGAGGAGGAAGTAGAAAATTGTCGTAAGTTTGTGTTTTAATTTTAGTAAAAATTCTGAAAATGAAAAAAGGATATTTCTTTTATTTTTAATTATGTTAAGGATATTATATAATGTTGTATACAAAATGGATACATAAGCATAGATAAATTATAGATCATATACAAAAAGAGTGTAGTCAGGGGGAGACACATCTTTATATAAATTATATAGTTTTTTTCGTTTCAGAGAACTTTAAACAGGAATGACTTTTCTAGATTCTTTTCCTTCATTTCGGTTTGGAACAAACCTCCGGATCGGAGTTTGTTTCGGTTTGTCAAAATGACATCTACCACAGCTCTGCTCCCATACGAGATAGAGGGCTCCAGTTGCTGTATTGGGCGTTTGAAATGATTTTTTAGCACAATAAATTAATTTTTGCAACTGATCAAATGTCGGGTCCTTTCGAAACTAAATGTGATATGTTCTGAAGAAGTGAATCAGTTACTTTAGTCTAAGTCATTCAAGGGGACTACACATTTCGGGAAATTAGTACAGCACAAAATACATAAACATCGACAGTCACCCATGCATGGATTTCTGGTATAATAAGTGGAAGCCTGTTAAATTAAATATAGACTTGCTATATTCTCCAGTATGATTGATCCCTCGGCCCCAGCTACACCTATCATCGTCACGTCGCACAGTGGGTTGAGCGGTAGGCAAAATGGCGATTAATGGATATTCATAAATACATAAAAAAACATAATTAGAAAAACAAAAAAATTAAAAAAAAAAATTGTTTCAATATTTGATGGCCTTTTTTGTATTTTGGAAAAAGTGGTCTTATATCACAATTTTCGCTATAACTAATCAAAGAAAAATTATAAAATAGGAAATTCAATTAAAAATTAGAGCATACTTAATGTGCTTTTAGAAAAAAAAATTTTCTTAAAAAATAAAAATTAATAAATATTTAATCTTTATTTATATACCCAAAATTTTAAATTAAAATCCGATTTTTTTCTTCAAATTCCATAATTCCACATATTTAAAAAAAGTTACATTAGAAAATATTATTATATCTTATTGATCAATATTCATAAACAAAACCCATAGTATAAAAATAAAACAAACAACCATTACAGGAAAAAATAGCTAAAAATATAATTGTACGGTTTTTTATTTTCTTCATTTCATTAATTTTAACAGTATTATTAATTTCATAATCATCATTTACTTCACAACAATTATAAAATTAATTTACTTAATAATAATCATTTACTTGTTAGTCATCATACAATTCGTTAATATATAATAATCTTCATCTTCATCATCTTCGTCACCATTATCATTTTCCTTTTGGGTAAGGATAAGTAAGTCCAAAGCAGTCTGAGACATTTGCTGCATTTTCTTTTTACAACTCTTCCTCTTGCTCAAAATAAATGGATCTGAACTTAAAAGAAATCTATTAAAGACGTCTTCTATTGTATTTTCCCGACTGAATTTACTGGAAAAGTTTTCCCAATAGTGTTCCCAAAGTGTTTTGGAGTCCTTATTTCTGGCTTCCTGAGATTCTTCATTTAGCTGGGTTATTTTACAAATTCTTTAATAAGTCAAAAAATGCAGCAAATCGGCAAAAAGTTTTTCTGGAATTTATAAGCTGAAACTTCATATTTTAAGAAAATATAAGCAGTTTTACTAAGTTTCACTGATAATTCAGTTGAAATCCAATACAAACATCAAAAATACCTCAATTTTGGAGCAATTTCCTTATTATTTTTTTATATTTCCAAAACATTTATCTAAACAAACAAATATTTTTCATATGCTCAAACACCTGAAGTAGACGGCTCCATAATAAAATTTTCACTTTTAGAAGACTTTATTAAAAAAATTATTACTGGAAATATGCAAATTTTCACTTTTAACCAATGCGCGCAAAAATAATAATAATTTCTGAACTTTGAAGACACACTACAAATAAAGTAAACAACTAAGAACTTTTATTTTGGCAATTATTGATGTAGAATTTTATCTTCTTTCATTCGGTACCAAAAACGGTTATTAAAGTTAAAGTTCATTTTTTGAATTAATCGCCACTTTGCCTACCGCTCAACCCAGCGTGCGTCGTTGACATCTTACAAAGGTTCAACTGGTCGGACTTATCGAATATTATTCGGTGGAAAAGTATTCAGACTTGTCAGAATGATTCAATATTTGCAACCGCGTTCATCTTATGACAATGCGGTGGATATAACTGCCACGTATGTGTAAGTAATGACCTAGAAAAAGGACCCTAAATATTTAGTGATATACGGCGTCTAAGCTTCATCTAATCGTCTTGTTCTACTAAATATTTTCTGATTATGAGGGTAAATTCGTAGGACATAGTATTGACTTTTTCCCTAAACCCCGCTGTACAAAATTGCATGACTATAAATGTCTGTAGAACGACTATAACATATTTGTCGGGATTATTTAAGATGATCAATCGAAAGGAGGGCGCGATATTTAATATGCGAGGAGGCCAAGTTATTTATTTCAGCTTTTTGAAATATAATGCAATAACATTAGTACCTCATTTTTGCATTTATGTGATGTCCTTTCCTTTATATACCATCAATACATATCCCCCATATCCCCACATAAGCCCTTTCCAGACTATTGCGATTGTAACGAAGAAATTGAAAAAAAAGTCCAAGTAGAAGTGCAGAATTGATATACTTGACGCAATAATCAAATTAATTATATTTCACACGTGAACAACCGCACAAACACAGCGGCATGTGAAAGTCGCACTTCCGTTACAATTATGCATATTTTTTCACGCTGTTCACTTCATTAAATGCACGAAGACACAGAAAGCGAAAGGCAAGAACAACAACAACAGCAACAACGACTGCCACTGTCAGTGGAATTATGATGATGATGGGGACGACAAAGGTGCACAATTGAATGCGCGCTTCCGTTAATGTCGCGTGCCCATGTCGTAATTGAAATTTGTAAAACGGAAATGAAACCGAATCGTTTGGAGTTTTAGTGAGTCAGTTTGTTATAAAAAACCCGAACTACAAACACACTGACATAAATAAGGTGCACTGGCATACAAAATGCATTCGTATTTGCAAGGACACATTGTCTGTAGTCTCACACAGTATTACACACATAGAGAAAATATGTACTGGACACAAATTTAATTTAAACACATACATACACACATATCTTTATAATGTGGTATATGATTATATTTTGTTTTTCTTGGTAGAACGCTGTTGCGGAACCTAGTCTTCAAAAAATTAAAGCAAAACTAAGCCGGCAACAAAACCGACAGAAAACAATTGCAATAAAAATTCTGTAGACCTTTGTTATTGTTGTAGTGAACCATGAAAACAAACTGGCCAAACAGCCAGCCAGCCAACCATCCAACCAACATTCATTGAATTTGTGGGATTTTATTTTAAGGCTATTAACACATACAAATACCTACATACATTCATACATACGATTGTACACGTGTATTTATATCCGTAATCCGCTGTTGCCGTAAATATGTATACTCGTATATTTGCCTGAACTGAGTGCAACTCCGTGCACAATAATGAAAACATTCATAAATATTTGCCAACACATAAAATTTATTTCTTCTGTATGAGGTTAATTTTTATTGGTTGACAGTTCATAACCGATGCAACGAAAACAATACAACCGGAAGGATATTAAAAAAATATTGTCGTAAGGGAACCTATCAAAAAGGAGCAGGTGAAGAAAAAAGGAAACGCAATGGTTTTTGGGAGATTCGATAACTTTTGAAATAAACGTTTCCAATATCCTGAACGATATTTTCCAAAAAGCCTTGAATATTAATTCGAGGTAGATTAATGGAATAACGCAAAATGTGTAAGGAAAACATGTGAAAGGAGAAGGAAAAATCGAACATCCCGTTGTCTAAATCATCATTAATCTATAATTACAGCATATTGTGAGCAAAATCGAATATAAAACGACATATACATTGGAACTTTACCGGGTTGAGGATTTATAACATACACTGAGCTCTAAAATTTTAGTTATTTTTACCGTTATAATTACTATATTTGGTTTCAACAACTATTTTATTACAATAAAATGAGTCTGGTTTTCAGCAAACTTGAGTGGCAGTTGATATCCAGCTGGTCTCCCTGGATGACCTTATGTATAGGCCACGGTACTTATCAACAAATTGCCATAGCAGACAAAAGTACCTATTTATGAGTTCATAGAAATTGGTGAAACGATACCCAACGATAATGATATAACCTCAAGAACATGGCGTGGACGAGCTATGGTAGCCAGTAAACTATCAAGAAAGTTCTTTTATTTCTGAAAAGAATCGGAAAATCAGATTGCCTTTCGAAAAAGCACATACTAATTGGAATATCAAATATCAAAGACTCAGACATGAATGGTATTGGACTGTTTTTCTTTTTATCGAGTTCGATATATTTACGAGATTTATAAAATAATGAATCGGATTGTCTATACAAATGTGTGGGAAAATGCTGAAGAAAATTTACCGCAAAATCAGGGTTTTTAGGCCAACACAATCATCAGATCTTTGGAGTATTTTAGATGGCAAAATCAAAAGAGTTTCGGAAATATAATAGACTTCAATATAGCACAAATTCCGTCTCATTCGAAGTGTATGATCCTCGGGTAATCTCTGTTGTTATGTCAACTGTATGAACCAAGTAAAGAACATTTTCAACTTTTCGATCGATAGCCTATTATATGCAACCTAGTTGCCGATCATCAATGCCATTTTAAAAATCAACAAAATAACAGCAGATCTGGCATTTTACTGACCGAGAAGGTCGAAGGTCATATACATTTGGGTCGGC